GAGAGAGAGAGAGAGAATTCGTTGCACTAAGAAATAATTCTTAGCACTAATGAATAATTAATTCTTAAGACTAGAACGATTAGCGTTAAACATATATTTAGTTTTACTACATCCGTCAATTTGACGGATATTTAAAAAAACGTTTATTTCTTTAATTATTTTTAATTTTTTTAATATTTAAATAATTAACAAAAATAGCTTTCGGTTTGGTTTTGACGGACTGACAGCCGCGATTTCCCTGAGTAAAATAACGCGATAGAACGCATTAATAGCGCGTTTCCCGAATTTGAAATGTCATTTTGACTGTGTGTCTGATTGTTCTAATACTCGGTATTCGCGATCTAAACATTTTTTTATCTTGAAAAACAAGTTTTATCAGAAGTGCGGTACGATCAAACACTATCCCGCAAGCACATGCACAGATTGTTGCATCCATGAAAATGTATAGTTCTTTACCGTGTGCAAAAATATTTACTCGTGAGCTTTAAGAACTATTCCGCTTCGCGCAGGTCTGTGTACGTAGGCGATACTTAATATACAACCCGAAACAAAGCGCGAACCGTCGGCAAGACTGCCCGACCCTATGCTAACAGCCATATGAAAGCGAAGATTGTCCCCACCTTCACCGTCGTGTTTGTTGACTTATCTCGGCACGAGCCCTTGAATTTAGGTACTCCTAAATAAGGAGATCCTAAAATGGTCATTTTTCAACACGCTTCCACCGTAATCTTCTCAATACAGTTTTCTTTCTTGAGAATTTCTCAACATCGCTTTATTTCAATTTTAACAGTTTCTCTCTCTTCTACATTCGTTGATATAAAACTTTTTGAGAATATATTATATTTTTTGGTACAATATTTTAATTTGCAGCATATATATCTTATATTGTTTACAAGTATTTTTTAAATTGTATCTTAATTTACATTTTAACATTCTTTAAAAAGAACACTATATTTTTTTATAATAATAATTAATACAAAATAGTTAAAGGATAAAATGCCAATATCTTAAATATCATAGAGTGCCAACGACGGTTGAGTTAAATAATAAATGAGGGATCATTTTATTTGGATTTCACGCAACTTTCACTTTTCTCTTTATGTCCGATATTTGTCGACGATAAGAGTTCGTTCACCAATCGAAATGATCCACAGATCGCATTGTTTGTCACTCTTTGATTCTGGGAAGGGAACGAGACAGATTGCTCGCATCGCATAGTTCACGTCGAAGACGTTATGCGTCATATCCAAAGTTCTACGTTGATTCATTTGATTGGCGCGCGCATTCGTGCACTCGGTAACTGTCGGATTTATCTTTATTACGTGACAATAAATGGTAATGCGTAAAGAAAGAATCGCACCTTTGGCAAACGCGAATCACGGTTCAATAACAATTCGCGGAAAAGGAAAAAATGTTTTTGAGAAATATATCAGTAATAGTAATGGCGATTAATAATTTTTCTCGACTCGATACAAGACTGCAATTTATTTTATTCGTGATTTTGTCCATAAGCTGATTTTATCTGATGCATCGGATTTGCATTTGATGAAATTTTATTGACCGATCGATGCAACCGACTGATAGATTCTCATTAATTCTTACCTCGTAATTCCACGAAAAAAAGAACAGTCGGATCACTACGCTCACTTCATCACATCGGATGTAATCGAGAAGAAGAAATATAGAACGAGAGACGGCAAGAAAGATGAAGAAAAGAGAGTCGCATGTTCATATTTAAGTCTTTCGTATTTCATAACTCACTCACGCACTGTACACGTGCACGGGCCATGACCTTTCAAATTTGATAGCTAAAGTTCGAGTGCAGATCACGATCCGTTTTTCATTATTTCTTTTTCTTGTTTGCTACTTTTTTGACTGATTTGAGAGATTGCGAAAATGCAGAGAAATTTCGTTCGTTCCGTTATGCAATCGTTTGATAATTATATAAATTTATTTTTCAATCTTCATTTTATAAAAATTATTTATTATTAATGATCTCACACACACACACACACACACACACACACACACACACACAAAGAAGTTGGTTTAGTTGTATATCAGTAAATTAATTTGTATTATCGTAATACGTTTTGTTCTATGTCTAATATAATAGCGTTAGTAACTAATTTATTAAGTTAGACTAAATACTAATAAATAATAATAAAATAAATAAGACATAATAATATAATATATAACATATCATTGTAATGATGAAACTATAATTATAATTTCTACTTCTCTCTCTCTCTCTCTCTCTCTCTTTTCTTTCTTCTTTTTCTTTCTCTTTGAGCTTCCTTCACTTCTCTCACTTATTCTTTTTTTTCATCTTGAGAATTAATTACACAGAATATTCTATGCGTGTGAATTGAATAATTTAAAAATCTATAAACATGTTTATGCATACTTTGAATTTATTGAACTATATAGATTATGTAAACAAAATAATTAGTTTTTGAAATTTATAATTCTTAACAATTAATACAGTTATAAAACAGCGAAGAAAGAAAACCGAGAATTAATAAATCGCGTTCATCAATTATAATGGTGCAAAGTTTGTGAATCATTAGAGAGAAGTTTACAGTTCATAAATATATCCACACCGCCTTCTACGAATCATACAGAACGAAACCTTTAGTACCAGAAGAAACTCATATCGTTTCACCCTTCTACTCTTCTTTTCTGATATGAATTCTCAGCGTTCTTATTATTATATTAATATAATTCGTATCTATATTTTAATGATTGCGATAAATGTAACATTTTTTATTTTTTTTTAAATCGTACAATTAAAACTAGAAATTTTAGAGAAAGTTATATATCTTATGCAATGTTATAATTTGTACAATTTTTTCATTTAAAATTATTACACATACACATCATATGGAAGGTATTACAAGACGCGTGCAATACGCGTGTAATACGCAGCTGTCTCTACACCTAAAGACGATTTTAGCATTTGTTTTCCTTTTACCTCTGTCCACGTGCGGTAGTCTTTCGATGTGAACATGCCGGCGGAAGTGGCACGTGATAGATTCCGCTTTATGGACATCTCGACAAGCATTAATTTGTCATTCGAGATAATTATTTACATCTGGTTGTAACGTTTATTCTACGATTTTAAATATACATATACATATTACATCTATCTGTGAATTGTCCACATAATTAATATTTCGTTATCTAAATTGGAATAATACGGATAGTCCGAATCTTGATATATAAACAGCCAAATCTTTCTATTTAAATTTGTATGTTAATTGGAATCTAAATTAGAGGAAATTAGATGGAAAATTGAAAATTGCACAAAGCACGGGATATTAAAATTTATTAAATATGTAGTAAAGCGCTCTAATTAAAATATATAAAAACTAACTAATATATTTAATTCTTGTTTAAAATAGATATTTCATAACTATTATAAAGAGAAAACAAGGGAAAAGAAAGAAGAAAGCTTATAAACAAAAAATGTGACGCCACTGTGTCTACGCTTGTGTACGACGTCGCCACAGTTGTCCCTTGAGACAGGACAAAAAAGAGAATTCGTCACGATGCCTAATCGGTGAGGAACGTCAGTGAGGCGTCTTGAGTGGTCGACAACGAGATGGAGGGGATCTCTTAGTTGGGGAAGTTGAGGTTCCGCTACGAAATGTGATCGCGTTCGTAATACCTCGGTAGAAGGGGAAACATGGAGAAAATAATAAGTGGGGATAATTGTCCGTCACCGCAGAAGGGTCTCTCCGAGTGGGGAAGGAACCGCAGAGGGGGAAATCCTGACCACCTTCGAGGTCCTCCAACTCCGTTTAGCTCGACGTTTCATGCACTCTGTTAGATTATATTGCGCTCAGTTCTTGTCTGTCCGGTGACAGATACGG